GTGTATAGGGACATAATTGGAGTGCAGCAGTGTATGAGGTGAATAGGGTGCAGGGCTGTGGGGGGGTGGGGGACATGGGGGTGGCAGCTCTGGGAGGTGGAGAGGATGGGTGAAAGAGCGCTGTAAAGGGTACAGGGCTGGGAAGGGTAGGTGTGGAGTGCAGGGCGGGATGGGACGGGGGAGGGAAGCAACGAGGGGGTGTGACAAAGTGGGAATGTTCTTAATGTTCTCTTTGAATACTGTGTGGGTGCCTCAGTTTCCCCTATGCATTTCTTAGGTATCTAGGTGGGGGGGGGGGGGGAGGGGGGAAAAAATCAGGGTGTATGATTGTTGCAGAGCCCAAGAGGGCCCCGTGATACTGTCTGCACAGAGAATGGCCGGCACTCTGTCTCCTGGCAACTAATGGCCTGGGCCCCTCCTCTGCAAAGATGCCAACTGAAGGTGTTGAAGAACAAAGATCAGGTGACCTCCTGGCCCAGGAAAGAGACAAAGGCCAGTGAGGAGGGGCTGGAGCGCCTCAGCTTGGAGCTGGCTGGGGATGTGTGGGGAGGCACAGACAATCTAGCCTCCCTGCCCCCCAAGATGGACCTAACGGAGGGGGTCCTGTTGTCTGTACCTGCAAGATGTGCCTTGGATTTTGTTCCTGTGGTCTAAATAAACCTTCTGCTTTACTGGCTGGCTGAGAGTCCTGGTGAATCGCTGGAAGCCGGGGCTGCAGGGCCTTGTCTCCCCCAAACTCTGACAGGGGGTGGGATGGGGAGGGATGCAGTGAGGGGGATTGGGGTGCAGGGCTGGGGGGGAGAGGAGTTGCCCAGAGTTCAGGGCTGCTGGGGCCAGCGGCGGACTCAGGAGGACTGTCCTGGGCCGGGGGGCGATGCTGTCAGGCCAGGCCTGCCCCTGACTCCCTGAGGTGGCTGGGCCTGGCCACGCGCTGGGTTGGTCTCATTCTCCGCCCCTCCCCTCCAGCAGCCCCCTTCCCAGCACTCGGAGACAGGGATACCTCAAATTCCTGGGTGCTGGCGATGGGGCGACAGACCACGGTTCGCCGCAGAAGCACATGTCGCAGCTTGAGCCCAGCCACAGGAGGAGCCGGAGGAGGAGAAGAGGGCCGGCAGCAGTGGGAGAGGCGCACGCCATGACCCCTCAACAGCCACCTGCTGAGTGCTCGCGAGTCACGCTAGTTTGTGCCCTGCCCTGACCCAGCCATTGGGAGTAGTGTCTGCGGGCGGAGTACCATGCAGACCTCCCCTGGCTGCCACTAAGCCTAGGAAGCAGACATGCCCACTGCTTCCCGGGAGCTGCGCGGCGTGGAGCTGTGTGGCACTGCCAACTGGATAGTCAATAGCTCATTCAGCAACACTGACTGGAGCCGCCCAGATCCCTTTTTGACCGGGTGTTCCGGTCAAAAAAATCCAGACACCTGGTCACCCTACTTGAGGGACAAGTCACAAATGAATCTGACAACTGTCTTCATGGATGCCTCAATATAATTCATTGTATTGTATGTTGAATCACATCCTCTTATCATGCGATGTCTTTGTGTTGGATTGTGAATTTGACCAAAGTACATGTGTTGGCAACAGATTGCTTGTGTTCCAGTACAATAAACAGATTCAGTAATGCCTGCCCAGATCACTGCTACCCAACAAGAGTGGTTGAGACAACCCTGCAAAAGCAGAGTAGTGCTGGGACAGTGCCCAAGAGCAAGTGGGACCCATCTGAATTTTAGTTTTATGCTGGGATTTTTGCAGTTGCTACCACAATTATGTTTGAAGACACCATAGTAGGAGCAAATACGTGCTAATCCAAAACATGGAATGCAGTAAGTCATCATGCATTTTACTTTTAAACTGCATTGGCTAAACTTGAGCTCAGGTCACAAAGCAGCTGATCCAAAAAACCCATTGAGACTTTTTTCATTGACTTCAGTTTCAATCAATCAGGGCCTAAATTCTGATCTGTATCCATATTTTGAACTCTTCCAGGTTCAGATCTAAGGTTTGGGTTGGACACCCCTCTAGTATTTGTTAAATTTACACATATACCCCTTACTAACATTACATCCAAGCTACTTTACTGGTATACTGGGTATTTTAGGGCCTTAAGTATTTGTTGATTTAAAAAATAAAATAAAATAAAGAGCTTTAGAAAGACTTTGAACCTGGGTCAGCAGTAGACACACAAACAGGAGCGAAAGTATGAAAGATCTTCGTAACTACCACCCATATTCTAGAAACCCTTTAAAATAGCAGCTTTTGTTATTAGTTTCTCTGGCATTTAATGTAACAGTACTCATTTAGTATTAATGGGGGTGTCATGCGCACTTGTAGTAGATTGCTGTCCAAATTCAGCCATAGTTGCTTGGATTATTATTTTAATGTAGGCTTGAACAAGCCACATAGAGGCAAATGTGAGCAGGCTATCATGTGCCTATAAGGCCACAAGTGCATCAGAACTGCAGCATTTCCACGGCTTGAGAGGGCTATGCTGTGCTCAGTCTGCACGGCTGGATGTTTCCAGCCATTACTTCTTACTGTGGAAGAGAGTGCAGCACCAGGGTGGATGGGGACAGGCTTACGCCATTGGCCCATGCACAGCGCAGCAGCATTGGGTGAAGACCGCATTTGAGTGGGAGCAAGAGCTAATTCCATTACTGCCTAGGCCCCACAGTAGTGACTGCATTGCTTCTTGTGCATTTAGGCTGAGAAGCCATCCTTCAACCCTGCACATTTGTGGAGCTGTGTGAACACAGCCGGTTTGCTTACTTGTGCCATCTTGTATGCACTCTCTTCCAGGACTTAGCAACTTAGGCTGCTGTCTGCAGAGACCCCTAAGGGAGTTTGACACCCAACTGACATTAGGATTTGGGCCTCTCTCTCACAATCTGTCGAAAAGCCTGGCTTCTGTGCCTCAGTTCACTAATGCATAAAAACAAATTACCTACCCAACAAGGGTGTTATGATGCTTGATTTAGTAACATTTGCAATATCCCTTTGAAGTCTTTGCATCAAAGGTGCTAAAGAATGCCAAGGGGTATTAATAATGGTGCTCATATTCTGCACCCAACATTTAAAACAAAAAATATTACAAGGAAGAGATGTTGGGGTAAAGGGGGGCTAGAGTTCCTATAGTGTTAAATTAAAAAAACCACACACCCACCACTATTGTCCAAGCATAGGTATACACTTTTGGAATGGAGGGGAGAGAAAAGAGAAAACTCTGGATCCATTGACATGAACTAGTTGAATTTAAGTAAGAGAACAGCGTTAACATTTTCAGTGTTGTGCAATGCAAACAGCCTAATCTCAGCATTTGAATTATTTCATAACAGCCAGGCATATCTGTAAAACTAATGTTTCAAGCTCCTGTGTGATAAATTAAAATAATTCCACTCATCGTGCTGCAAAACTAGCAGTTCAGTAGCTTTTGAAATAGTACTTTCAAGATAAAATATGTGCTTGTTGTTTCTGTTTTTTCTACAAGTGCTATATCTCCTTCACAGCTGTAGTGATAGGAAAACATTTTGTGTAAAATGTGTGTTTTCCCCTGACATTTAGAGGTCTTGCGAAGTGGTTTATTATAGATCTTGTAGACATTTGGATATTTAATTAAGTGTCAGAAACACATTCTCTGTCCCTGTATGAATGAATACGAAGAGTTTATTTAGTCACAGTCTATTTGTTATTCTTTTTCTGTTTCTCACACCAAATTATCAGTTGGAAAGTCAGTCATCACAGACACTTAAAATTTTTAGGGGTCAAAAATCTAATTAACCCGTAGCAACTGTGCTGGAAATGTTGAATAATGTGAAACAAGTTTTTACAAGAACCTATAGAATCATTCAGGCTTAGTGGTATCTTTGCAACTGGTTTTTCAACTGACCTTTAATGTCATTTTCAAAACACCCACAGACCACCAGAAGAGAGGAGTGGAAGCACTGAGAAGAAAGAAGCCAAAAATAGTATTAATTTTAGCAACCAAGTCTTGACTGCAGCCTCTACTCACTCAGGGGTGGGGATAGCTCAGTGGTTTGAGCGTTGGCCTCCTAAACCCAGGGTTGTGAGTTCAATCCTTGAGGGGGCCATTTAGAGATTTGGGGCAAAAATCTAATTGTGGACTGGTCCTGCTGTGAGCAGGGGGTTGGACTAGATAACCTCCTGAGGTCCCTTCCAACCCTGATATTCTATGATTCTATGATAACTGTGGTTGGGCATCGAGGTTGTGTGTGGAGCTGTGAGGTAAGGGCAATGAGCAAGAACTGCTGTCAGTAAACTACTCACAGTAAGTACATTATGCAGAATTGAGCCTATAGTAAGTTATTGTTGAATGTAAACATCTGGCTGTTAGAAGAACTTGCCCTTCCAGTTTTTAGTGAACAAGGGAGACATGAGAATGCAGAATAAAACAGAAAAACAATCTTAAAGTGAGATTCTGGAGGGGTTTCCTTCTATTTAGGCTAGCAGGGTATGCCCTAAGATTCCTACACTGACTGTGACTTTGCATGCATTCAGATTGGGGAACAAATGCAGAGTTTGCTTGCACTGCTGATTGGACAACAGTAATGTACATTATCATCTCGGTTTTCATTAGAATCACTCACTCTCTAGTGGTAATCTGTGAGAATGTTTCAATTTGTTCTAGCTTCCAGTGAAGACAGTGACTTCTAGTTACACCCAGCCATACTGTATATGAGCTCACATATGCTAAACACCTCCCCCCCCCCCCCACCAAGCACTACAGTACAATGGATGGGCACCTATCAAAGCCATGTGCTTGTAATTGTCACAGTACTTTGCCATACTCACCATCCTGGAGCAACTTCCTGTGGCAAGTCCTGGCATTTCAGCTATAGCACCTCCCTGTTTCTGCTCAAGACATCAGTGGTCTGTACACTTAGCTCTCCTACCCCTTCCGGGGTTACAGTGTCCAAAATCTTCTTCCTCACTCTGTTAGAGAGCTCTGCCTCTCAGGTCTCTCTCCTCTTGAGCCACCAGGCTTCTTCTGCACTGTCTGTCTTTTCCCAAGCCTGCTTTAGGAGTCTCCATCTGGTCTCTCCCTTCAGGAATGAGCCCATGATACAAGTTCTTTCCTACAGGCCTCTTTGCAGGCTGCTTTCCTCAGAAAAAAAACTCCTCCCCCAAAACTTTCTCTCATTACTCTGCGAGTCCTTCCTTTATCCGAACCACCCAGACTGGTTTTCCCCAGCTGGATCTAATCCTTAATTATGTGTCTCCCCTCCAGGTGCCACAGAATGGGCTAATAGGGAGTCCCAGCTCCTCTTAACTCTTTCAGTACTAGATTTCCATGAATGTTACTTATAATTGTGGGGGAAAATTGTCTTGTTTACATGTGTATTAGAATCCCCAGGGAAGTGTGCAGACCAAAGGAATTAATGTCTGAACCTTAGTGGTTGGGATGTCTGTGTGAATATGGCTGATGTGAGGACAAAACAAAATAAGATGCTCCGAATTCTGCTCATAGCCAATGAGGTTGTAGGGATATACCTGACAGCAGAGTTAGGCCTACTATATTTGTAACCCCCAGAATAGTACCTTTACTGATGGGGCAATAAAACCTGTAAATGGCCCTTTTAAGGATCTCTTTAACAGCTGAGCATAGGAGTAAGGACTGAGTGGTGATGTAGAGCATGTAATGAGCATTGCTGGGGCACGTACCAGGCTTTTAGGCCAAGATTTAAAAAAAAAAAGACTAGTGATTTTGGGTGCCCAAATTGAGACACCTTAAGGAGGCCTGCTTTTCAGATGGCTGAATCTGAGCATTTTTTTTAAGCTTTGTTGAACTAGGCTGTTTTGATTCTTTGACTTTTCCTCTCTCTTCCCACGTTACTTTCTTTCAGTTCCCTCATTCTAGTCCTTCTCTGTAGGTTAGATTTGGAATTCAGTTATACTTGTAAACTGCACTGAAATTATGACTGGAATCAGTGTTTCTTGAGGCTTGGATAGAATAAGGTAATTCCAAGCTATACTTTTCATTTGTTAAAAACAAGAGAGCATGTGTGTGTAAATGTGCTGCTAGTGAAACTGAGATCTCTAGCTTCAGCATTCAGGTTCTGTGCCAGTTTCCCCTAAACAGTTCTGCCACTGCACCTCAATCCTGATCTACAGCACTAACCCTGGACTTGCTCTGAGCACAAACTAAATTGTCATGCCAAATATGTACTGCATTCTCTCTCCCATTTTTGCCTCTGCTTGGCTGTTTTCCATTTACTTCAACCAACCTCTGCCCTGAACTCCTGTAGACTACACAAACTATGCTTGTGCACTGATAAATTGGGGATTGTTGGGGGAAAAGAAGTTTCAAAGTGACACACATTTATCTGTGGGAAATGGGCACACTAAGGGGTTAATGTGTACATGTTATGTTAAAGTCAATTTAACAGATAGGTATATACTAAATTTAAAACAATCATGTGTCTAACTTGGGTATGGATATTAGATGATGTAGCAGGTTGCTAGTATTTGCCTGAAACATCCCACTCTGCCAGCCGTTGTTGTTCTTTCTAGGGAAAGTTAATTTGGTTCTGATTACTTATGGTTGCCGGTGGCTTATTATCCTACCCCGATTTAAGGAAGGTAGGAGTGTCTTTATAAAGACAGAAGACCTAGGCTGTGGGCTTTGCAATTGTGATGGAGGAGCCCTAGGATTAGCCAAGCCTAAGGATAGGTCATAAACAAAGCTTTATTTTGTATTATTTTTAATTTGCGTGTTAATAAAAACAAATCCCAGGAAAGGGATGACTTTGGACTGCGCCTAGTGTATGGGCAGTATCTGAGAGCAGGTTGGGAATGGCACCTTCTCACATCGCAATTCAGGAAACTGAGCCCAGAGAGACGGGTATGGCCCTGATTCGGCAAAACACTAAGGCCTTGGCTACACTTACCCGGTAGTTCGGCGGCGAGCGATCGAACTTCTGTGTTCGACTTATCACGTCTAGTCTGGACGCGATAAGTCGAACCCGGAAGTGCTCGCCGTCGACTGCGGTACTCCAGCTCGGCGAGAGGAGTACCGTGGAGTCGACGGGGGAGCCTGCCTGCCGAGTGTGGACCAAGGTAAGTTCGAACTAAGGTACTTCGAACTTCAGCTACGTTATTCATGTAGCTGAAGTTCCGTACCTTAGTTCGAATTAGGGGGTTAGTGTAGACCTGGCCTAAGCATGTGCTTAAGTCCCATTAAAGTTAAAGTTAAGCACATGTTTAAATGCTTTGCTGAACTGGGGCCTGTGTGTGTAGCTGACAGTACCAGATCTACAGGTTAATTACATACCTAGATTAGATGTCAGCCTAATTTAAAAAAAAATCCTGCCTGAATATGTATATATCTGACTCCACTTGTTTCACATGTCACTTGCCTCATCATGAGGTAGGGCATTGGAATTACCCTCCCGGATGCAAATAGATAAACTGTTTTCAGATTGATCAGAATTGGTTTTCAATTTGAACACTGAATATTGATCCATAATCTCTGTGAAAGAGATAGCAGTGGAGCTAGCCGGCTGGCATCTGCAGAATTGTGAAATGGAGGATACCATGACCCTAACTGACTACACTGGGTAATTAGTCACACAGTGACTTGCCTCTTCAGGGGGAAAGAACGGCAAAGCAGAAGGATGTTTAGAAAACGCGATGAGCTTCCTTCTCAGAAAGACCAATATCCTTTTCCAAATATTGTTTGCAGCACTTTTAATCACATCAAAAACCTGGAGATTCTTCAGCATGAAGCAGCAAGCATTGCATTGCGCTTTGTACATTTTTGATGCAAGCTTCTAAATGAAATGACATCCTCCTTATTCCATATCTCACTGTCTGTGATGAAACAAAACACATTCCACAGCAGACAGCTAAACTTGGGGAAAACATCCAAAACCTACTGGGAATATTCATGACTGGTTTTTTTGTACAAATAAGTGTATCTGTAAAGTTTAATACAAATCAGACTGCACTGAACATAATCTGGTGAGTACTGTAATGAAATCTGAAGTTTATTCTAAAAGGAAATAATCCTTTGACTTTTTCCACGTGTTCTTTGTGCCCCAAAGTACAATAGTTGTTTAAGACAGTGAACTTGTGAGATTTGATGTTTATATTACAGATGTACTCAACAGAGAACAAAGGGGTTAAGCTTCTGCATAGGAACAATATTCATTCTTTGCCTTTAGAAGTACAGGGCATTATGAAAACTGAAAGTCTAACTAAGCATACATTTTAGCAGACATTGATGGGTGGGTGTGAAGGGAATTCAGCTAGTAAAAAAAAAAAAAAAAGAGAGAGAGAGAAATGTACAGCTTGCCTTGTATACAGATGGGAATTACCTATGCGGTATACTTTGACCTTCCTTTATCCTTTAGGGGGTACTTAAACATAGGAAGTTTTAGGTATGTAGGGCCTGTGATCTGAGGTCAAAGGATGAATCTAAAAACTTTCTGCAAATGTTCCTTTGAGTCTTTGCCATCACAAGGCATTTTATAATAATTTAAAGCTACTCTCCAACATGTTGGACATCATATTGATATCAGCATATAATTATTATTTATTTTGCATCAGACTGTCCATTATAAATGATAAACATATCCATGATATTGCTTATCAGGGCAGGAATTCTGCTGTCCAATGTTCCTATTAATTCCAGGGGAGTGAAAAATAATAAGGAAAGTCAATGAATGCATGAAACTAAACAGAGAGAAAAATGAATTCGATACAACTGCCATGAATAGTAATAAATAAATCAATCAAACTCAGTACACACATTTTAAAGCCATTATGTTTGTTTAGAAAGCGACAGTTGATCTTCGCTACTTGTGCCAATGACAACAGGGGTTGCTTGGGCAACAAGTTGCATAGCAAAGGGAGGAAGGAAAAGCTGCCTAGCAAAACCTGATGTGTCAGTAGCAAAGGTTTAAGTGGGTCATTTTGGCCCTGATGTGGCCAAGCACTTCAGCTAGGGTGACCAGATGTCCCGATTTTATAGGGACAGTCCTGATTTTGGGGTCTTTTTCTTATATAGGTTTCTATTACCCCCCACCCCATCCCGATTTTTCACATTTGCTGTCTGGTCACCCTAACTTCAGTACAGGCTTCACGTTAAGCATGTGAGTAGTCCAGTGTCTTCAGTCTGAGGCCTAATTTTCTCTCCTCACACTACACCTAATTTTCTCTCCTCACACTACAGGTAATTCCCATTGACTACAATGCGATGGGAACTACCCATAAGAACGGCCCCACTGGGCAGAGGTGAAAGTAAGCCGGTATGCCGTGGTATGGCATACCGGGAAGAGCCAGTGCACCATACCGGGGCGGATCGGCTTCCCCTTGTGCAATTTAAAGGGCCTGGGGCTCACAGCAGCGGCTGGAGCCCCGGGCCCTTTAAATTGCCGCCAGAGCCCTGCTGCCGGAGCCCTGGGGTAGCAGCTTGGGCGGCGATTTAAAGGGCCTGGGGAGCCTGCCGCAGCTACCACCCCGGGCCCTTAAAATCGTCCCTGGAGCCCTGGGGAGGCGATGGCGGGGCTCTGGGGACGATTTAAAGGATCCAGGGCTCCGGTAGCTGCTACCGCCACTACCACCCCGGCCCTTAAAATAGCCGCCAGAGCCCAGCCGCCGCTTCCCCGAGGCTCCAGTAGCCGCTACCGCCCTGGGCCCTTTAAATCGTCCCCAGAGCCTGTCAAAGCCCTGGGGTAGCGGCAGCGGGGCTCAGGCGGCGATTTAAAGGGCCAGGGGCTCGGCCGCCACTACCGCCTCGGGCCCTTTAAAGTTCCATGCACAATTGCTTGCAAATAAGAACAGGAATGTGTGCAGACAAATTGAGACGTTAGATACCCTAAGTAGCTCTAGCAACCCTCTCCTCATTACAGAAGCAGTAGCAGCATTAATAGCTGAGGGAGGGGTGAACTACACCGGAGCACCTTTACCTTAACTCCGTCACTAGAACTTAGGAGGCTAACCTCCTCCCCATACAAATGATTCCACCACCTCCCACCCACAGAGGTATTCTGGATGGAGTTTTAAAGCCAGATTTACTCACTGCAGCAGCATT